GGGGAGCGGAGGGGAGCGGAGGGGAGGGGAGGGGAGGGGAGGGAGGGAGGGAGGGGAGGGAGGGAGGGAGGGAGGGATGGACGGAGGGATGGGGGGATGGATGGAGGGGAGGGAGGGAGGGGAGGGATGGATGGATGGTGTTGTCGCTGTCCGAAACAATTTCTTACCGACGGCGAGACATCTCTCGTTGTAGGGTCGAAAACCGTACAAGAGCCACGTACAGGAAAGTGCTTGCCAAGTTGCCATCAGAAGGATGCCGGCCAGCGTGTTCAAAGTGCTAGGTTGTTCTGCGTCCCCAGTCGTCCACTGGAAGAGAACCCTCAGATTTGTCACAACTTCGGAGCACTCTTCAGGTCATGCCTCTCGACAACATTTGCACACTGCTCTTGGTCTGACCTATGGCAGTTTTTTCAGTTCCCTTTCCTCCTAATGCCCAACGGCCTATGCACTTCAGGCACTGTCTTTGTCGCCCACGTTTGGCCACACACCGCCGAAAGAAGATCCCACCGACACTCATCGGATGTTCTGACAGGTGTCCATGAAATACCAAGTCTCTGCTCTTCAGAGAGCCCAGAACAATGCAGGAACGAACAAGAAGCGATTCGGCCGAGCAAGCGGCTGACAATGGCTGAGAGCAGAGGTCAGGGGTGGATCTCCGGGTCCAAGGGCTGCCAAGGCTCGTCCAGGTTAGTGTGGCCAGCACCACCGCAAACCATAAAATGCAGCTGTAGAGCCATCCTGGGACATAGTAGTTTGTGTTCACCAAGTCACGGATATCTACCCAGCTCCCGTGAGTCGTATTGATCCAAGCATGCTGTGCACACCTACGCGCACACGTCTACCAATCTTCCCTGTAGCTACACCATGCCCGTGCGGATGCCAGGAAGGCCCAGCGTCTCAAAGAGGCATCCGTCGCAAGGAGCCTGCCGTCAGCAGAGCTTCACTCCCCGTAGCTCCGAGACTAAACCCATTCGGATATCCGTAGTATCGAGAGATCCCGAGGCCTCGCCTGGAGAGGTGAGCAAAAGAAACGAGTCTGTACTGAAAAACCCAGAAGCCTCATTTGCTCTGCACGCGCGAGCTGCTTCGACCAGGACCTGGAGCTGGAAGTGGCCAAGGCCATGATTTCGGGGGCTTTGGTCTGTTGGTCCGTTGGTCTGGGCTTCTGGCCAGAGGTGGAAGCCATCCATGATCCAGTGGGCAAAATTCCAGGCGAGCCCGATGTAGTGAAGGATGTAGATGATCTGGTACGCAAGTGTCTGCTCCGTGAACAGACAGTTGGGACTCCTTGGCATCGATAAGCTGCCAGCCAAGGGAATGCCAAGCCTTGTCAGCTCCCTGTCATCAGGTGGCTTTGCACCTGTTTTGAAGCGATTATGACGTCACCTGACAACGCCGAGGCTCATGTCCTCGCCGCCCGGGCATGGTCGGGCTGTTCCCGATTGGCAGTAGCCACCGCCTGGCGAAGGGCGCCGATAGGCGCCGGAGTCATGTCTGAGTTGAGGTGCAGCCCTGGTCCATGCCGACAGGATCCGACAGGCCTGCGGCCGTCACAAAGATGCCAATGATGTAGGAAACAGCATGCCATCGACAAAGCCATTCCTGTAGCGCCGGCAAAAGTTTTAAAAGTCTGCATCCTTTCATGAATGTGCGGCACCCGCTTGCAGTCCTGGCCCGCGTCCTGATCAACCGCAAGGCAGGGGAACACCCACCAGTGGCCGCCATGCAGGAAGCCTGGGGCGAATTTCCCACGCTCGAGTGCAATGTTCTCCGAGAGCACTGCTTCCACCCAAGAGGCCCAGTGTAGCCCATGCTGTAAGCGTATAGCCGAAGTTGTTGGCGGCAGACCCCTCCTTCATGCCTCACGGGCGAACCCACGGCCTTAACACACCTTTTGAAACCCGTCGTGACGATGCCGTGTGAACAGTGGGTACCGATGCTAGCTACCGGAATCTCGTCTAAGGGATCGCCAGCGCCACATGCATGATCGAGTGAAAACGCTTGCCTCTGGCCTGTCCATGTCTCCGGAAGCCAGGAGGCTACAGTTCTCTGTCGAAGTTTGGCCACTTCTTCATGACTGGGGCAAGCAGCTGACAGCAATTCGAGAATGTTACAGAGTTCGATTGAAACAGAATCCTACGCTGGCTCAAGGACGCCACAAGGCAGCCGGCGCGCTGTGAGCCAGAGAAGCAGAAGCGAGCATCATGCACACGAGGCACTGGTCATGGGGCCCGGGAAGAAGTGCACAGACGGTAGATAAGATGCTCCCATGTGCTACCACCTCCGCGTATGCATGTTACGCTAGCAGAATCCAAGGTGGTCGTCGCCTGTCGCGAGAGATCTCGCACGATGTTCTTGTGGTGCGCCTTGTGCCACAAGGAGTGGAACACGAACAGTGCTCTAAGGCGCCAAGGCCTCTAAGGCCTTTATGAAACACAGACCTTGACCGGAGGAGCACGGCACTGGCACTGGAGCCACGCACCTCATTCGTGCCGCCTCCGATCTCGAGGAGCTTGGCATCGCGCCTGGGACGTGAAACCCACGGAGTCTCCATGTGAAACGCAGGCTTCTGCTCTGGAGAGCTGAGGACATGGCCAAAGCCGCTCCACGTTGTACTCACCAACGTAACCATATCCGCCCAAGACCTTCAAGGAGCACAAGATCGCTCTTGGAATCGAAAACCTTCTTATGCACCTAATTATCCGAATACGTGCCATTTCGAGGCATGATAAGAGCCGCGGTTGTAAGTGGCACATCCCCGTCCAGCGACCTGAATCGCACGGTCGGCCACCATTTTGCCCATGTGGCCACAGTACAACTTCACCCCATCGGCATCCAAGCCGTTTCCTCACCAGCATGCGGCAAGGTCGCACCAAAGTAGCACCGTGTCAAAAAAACACTGCTTGAAGTTATGCGGACTGTGAACGATGGGATAGCTTGCTTCATGAGAGGGCGCTGGGGCAGGCCTACTGGAAGGAATGCCTCGACATGAGGCTCCAACAAGAGGTAAGACAAGCTGCACAAGCTTCCAAGAGTAAGTTTCACAACTCCCCTAGCAACCATTCGAGGTTTTCACCATGGCAACAACCTTGGCGCCACCATCGGTCCTACAGACTCCAGGTTCAGGTGCTTGGCCGTCTGGTACACATAGCTGCGGCCTGCCTCACGGCCGACAGCAGCTACGAAGCTTTGTTAGGAGACCCCGCACCTGGTACTCCGCGTAGGACTCAGCGATAAAGCGCTGGATCTGGCCGAAGCTGTTCAGCTGCGAACCGAAGGCCTGCCGGTCTGCAGGAGCTGTGCGAGCCCCGGATCCGACCATGGCATGTGTGGCAGAGGGGCGAAGGCCACTGCTTGTGCTAGGCACTGTCAGGCCTTGCGGTCCTTGGCATACCTGGCCCAACAAGGCTGGCGACCGGTGCTGTGTCAGATGTGTCGGTGTCTCAGAGCGCTGCATCGATTCCGCATTGGAAGTTCCACATATCCCACTAAGACGCACGGCACCGCATGGCGCCTGTTCATCTCTTCAACACATCTTCGAGCGATGCCGAGGCTCATCGACGCAAGTGCGACCTTGGGAAACCCGCAGCACTCAGAGCTACCTCTCTGCCTTGCACAGGACATGTCGGTGCATTGGTGATCATTGGTGCATTGCGATCTCTGCCGCAAGAAGAAGCCGCAAAGAGTAGCAGAGACCGGCGATGAATACAACGGAACCAGTTCATCTTTGGCAAATCTAGAACCCGTCTGCGGGCAGAATGTGCTAAGCCTGACGCTCTCTCAATTTCCAGATTCCGCATCATGCAAAGCGCAGCTTTGCCTGCCATCAAGACAGGTACTCTCTGACATCTTTGCACAGCGAGGCTTCTCAGCCGTGGCTGGCCTTCCTGGCCAACCAAGTTGGAGGCCGGGATGCGGCAGTCCTCATGTCAGCAGAAGGCCCTCGGCGAGCTGAGAAGGCCAAAGGACAACTCGAGAGCCTGGAAGACCAACTCGGCCGTCATGGACGCCCGCATCCCGCACTTGTCCTGCCACTGGGCCACTGCCACAAAGACTCATCTCTCGCGTGCGCGCGCGCGCGAAAGTCACGCCTGGATCTTTTGTCCCAGAGAGAAGCCCTTCGTGCCCTTCTCGACGAGGAAGAGGGAGATGTCCCTGCTGGTGCTGCCTGTGCGTGCATAGACCTGAGACACTGCTCACTCGTCCCATCCATCGAAGGGCATGGTGGAATCGGTGGAATGCTTTCCCTGCCAATTCCAAGGCCCCAGCAAGGTAGGCGTCGCCAGTCTCTTTCCCATCAACGGTGCCATTTGTGATCCACATCTTGGCTCCGTTAATGACATACCTGCAACATTCATGCAACTGCGTCCGAGATCACTGATGCCGCCGTGGGGACAGGACCATGAAGGCCAAGACAATTATTGCACACATCTCTTCATCCTGCCTACCTAGCGGCTCTCTCGCGTCCTGAACCTACCGTGGCTGTCCCCGGCCGGAAAGCCGCTTCCCAGAGGAAGGCACTCGTCGCCCTCACGTGTTGCGGTTGTCTTCATGCCCAGCACATCAGTTCCAACCTCAGAGAGCTCCGCTGGAAACTCGGCGTGAAGGCCAAGGCCGACTTGGGCACGAGCAGCTGGCTCGGACATGCACCTCGAATCCCGGACCCCGGGACTTGCAGGCGGCTTTTGAAGCTGCTTGAAGCTTGCAAGATGCTTCTCAGCCGTCTCAGAGCTTCGCCCAGAGCCCTAAGGAGCCGGCATGCCGCACACCTTGGAGCCGTCGACAGCAGAGGGCAGCCACTTCTGCTTCTGAGCCTTTGCGAAGGACGAAAAAGCTTTGCAGCGCACAAATCGGTCGGAGGCACGCGCAGTCTCAAGCTTCCATACACCCCTGACCTCGTTGCCGTTCTGCGCAAGGTTGTTCACGAACAGCATGCTGTGCGCCTGCGCGCGCTCTCTGAACTGCGTGCCCATGCCGCCATGCACCCTGGCTGTGAAGCAAAGCGCATGTGAAAATCCCTTTGATCAGTGTCTTCCCACACAGGCGTGCACATTTCATAAGTTCTCGTCTGCGGGAACATGCTACCAGAACAGGGGTGCCAGGTATGCCAGGCAGAAGGCGGGATCCACTGCAGCCAGTTCCTGGAATGCCGCACACAGAGTCCACGCTAGCATGCGCCTCCAAAGCGACTCCGGGGTCCTCATGGACAATGACAGCCGCCGTGGCATCCATACCACTTCCGCCGTATTCCTCACAAAAGCATGTCCAAAGCACGGCTTCAAAGACAACTCTGATCCGTGGTCTGGCCTCGGGAACCGTGACGCCAAGAAGGCCAAGCTCACCCAACTTTCGGAAGAGTGGCCTTGACGAGGCAGGCTAGCGGCCAGGGATGAGTCATCCTTCTGCTCGGGAAGTCCGGGCCGGCTGCAGGTTCATCTTCTCTTCGCGATTGAAATCTATGGCCTGGACCCGCGCGAAGACCACGCAGCGTTCAGGTTGGAATCTCCGCTCCGAAAGCCCACGCCGCCTGCGGTTCCACTTCCGCCTCTGCAAAGGACCTGACCATCTCCCGCAGAGCCTGGGACGCAAGAGCCCGATGGCATTCGGAAATCAAAGAGCAGCTGATGCCCCTCAAGGCAGGGCTACCAAAAAGTGGCCTGATGTTCTTCTGATGGGCTGAAGATCGTCCCGGGATCCTGCGCTGGGAAAACAGCGCCATTCCACATTCACAAGTCAGATGCGCCAAAACGTATCTCGAGCAGCAGCTTCTGCTTCGAAGTGTGCCTAACTTGGTAGGCTGTGAAACCCAGCCTAGCCACACAAACACACACACACACACCCTTCACACATCGGAAGCATGTCCCGATACACTTGTCGGTTGCTTTTTGGTAGGAGTGTCCGTACGACCGCTGGCATCAAGATTACGAGTGGACGACACTCGCGTCCTCAACGGGGGCCGGTACCTGATCCAGGCTGGTACAATCACCCTTTAAAGACATGTTACAAACGGCAAAACGTGCACAGAGTGGCTACTCCAGCTGTGTCAGCTGTGCCTTTGCCTGGCTAGTGGGTTCAGCAGATGCGGCCGCAGGCATTGAAAATGATGGGCTTGAAGCCTGCTCCTGCAACAACGCTAATGCCGGAGAAACTAGGCACATTTATCGCAGCAGTACCAAAACGTATTTCGATGTTTCGAGGGTATAAGGAAGCATGCCACTTACGCTGAGGAGTCCATTCTTTGCAACGTCTGTCAACCCTTTGTTTGACAATTCAAGCTGTCTCCTCTCTTCCGCTCTGCTTCTTCCTGGGCTTCCTGGGCTTGTCACGGGCGCTGGTGCCTTTATTTTGCGCTGTTCGGATAGTGTTGAAGTGCTTGAAACTCGCCAGCGTTGTCTCTGCGCCTTTTGCTGGTGGTCTCCTGGTGGTCTCCTGACAGTCTTTTGGTGGTCTCCTTCGTGGTTGCGGTGTCGGCTGCATGGTCCTCCTCCCCCTTTCAGCTGAAGCACGAAACGCACTCCCGCTTAGACCGTAGAGCTCTTCGTCCGGGTATGATACAGTTAGGCTGCACAAGTCTCATCAAACCACTTGTCGGCCGCGCCCTGTTCTCAAAGACCACTCTCAAGACTGCTGTGTCTTCGGATCTGCCGTTGAAGCGGATTGCGAGACCATTGAATGTCTACCCGGATCAGAATGCCTCTCTCGCTCTGTCTACCCAAGCTTGAAGGAGGCCCTCTGACGTCTCTTCAGCCTCCTCCCTCTCCGAAGCGTGTACCACTCTGGTGCTCCTGCGCCATGCTGCTTCCATGGCGGAAGCTGCATGGGGCAGCCTCCACTGGGAATCGGCACAGTTTAGGCGAGAAGTAAAGACCAGACAGTCAATGTCCTTTCGCCATGCTTGAAATCACGTCTTTTCTCAATGCAGGCAGATGGCTCGCAGTCGCGACGTGGCCAGGCGTGCAGCCTTGGCATCCCAAACAAGAGCAAGATAAGGTTTGCCGCATCAAGCGCTCGTTCTCGTCTCTTGCGACAAACCTTTCTTCAACCGTGGGCACGGCAGCAACGCGCAAGGTGGTCTGCGCAGGCCTGACAAAAGGTTCAGAGCAAAGTTGGACAGCTGTTTGGTATCGATGGAAGTTTCTTCTACTGATTCTCTCTCCCCATGGCATCTTTCGGCGGCCCAGCCTCATGACAGGCTGCCGCAATGCACAGAACATGTGTATGTGATGTCAGTAGCTGTCTCGAACGATTTGCTTGCAAACCTGTAGCTAGTTACAATGGGTGGCGTTAAGTTGGGGTGGGGCATGTAGCTTGCTCTGGAAACACCCATTTTGAGCCGTGGAACATTCAGCACGAACAAGTCAAAAGCCACATCATGCCGGATCGCTTGGACCTTCTATGTATACATAGATAAGGCAGATAAGGTAGACCAATGGCATGAAACGGAATATTTCATCTTTAGCAAGTAAGCCGCATACAGAACAACACGAAGCAACCATCGGTAGCAAGACGAACAAAAAATGTCACAGATACAAGCCTTCCAGTTTGGTGTGCAGTTGTCGCACCTTGAGGAGAGATATTCAAGCCCAACGTTTCTCTGATTCCTCGCACAGCTCTGGCTGTCTAGGAGAACTTGGAGTTGTAGAGCTCCACAAACCATTCCTCACTCTCCGTCAGCGCAAGATGTGAAAGCAACAACCCTGTAGCTCGAATCGGAGCATGTGTCGTTCCGTTCTGCCCACACATACCCTACTCAACTAACCTGTGAGAGTGCTTACGGGAACTCGAACTTCCGGCGCTGATGCTTCATCATCCCAAGAGTTTGACTGAAACCTCACCAAAGCCATACAAAACCTTTACAACGGTCACATCCCAAAACTTCTGACCTTCCGGACCCAGGTGCAGGCTCTCGGCTGCGAAACGGCAGCTTGCGAGCTTCCTGCAAGCTTATCTGTGTCTTTTGCTTTGCCGGACTGCCGTCTACGTAAGCCTCAACTAGCTGTCGAAAGAGCCAAGAACAGGGGGAAGAAAAACAAGATCAAGGCTCAAACACTTTGCATGACATGTAGATTACGAACCCTTTGTGTCGCGACAGCGGCATGGCAGAGATGAACTCCCCAGCCTGAATCTCCGCGATGATCTCACCACACAGGGGCCCCTTGCGATGGGCAGCCTCCGACACTGTACGAACAGATACGATGAAGTAGCAAGTACTGGAACGGTGGCCGGCTTTTCGGCAGCTGCCGTCACACCAGCAGTATCCACTGCAGCATTCATGGCAGCGGCAGGAGCAGGAGCGGGAGCGGGACCAGTACCTGTACTAAGAGCAGTAGCAGTAGCAGCAGCAACAGCAGCAGCAGTAGTCGTAGAAGCCGTAGTAGTAGCAGTCGGAGTAGTCGTAGTAGTGGTAGAAGTAGCAGCAGC